GTGAAAATATCTAAACCAGAAAATCCTGAAAATAAACCGTCCAAGCCGGGTTATTTAACATAATAAAGGATGTAGGTCAAGTATACACTATGCACATATCTAAACTTACTTGGGTTTACTTATTTACGTAATTTAAATTGCTTTGGGGAAAATCTTAATAAACGTGGAGGATCAATAAAACGAACTTAAATTTCAACAAACTCCTCCGGTTTGGTGTCCTAGTTCACGTATTCCTTCTCACAATCAATACTTTACTTACTTGTGGAGAAAAAATTAACCAAAATAGAAAAAAAAGTGTTAACAGAAAAACTACTTTTAGAACTTTAAGTGTCGCCTTGATGAAAATAAAGTGCAAAAAACCACGATAATATGCCGGTTTAAATTAAAAAGGGAGATGTAATGTATTGGCGGCTTGGTTGGAGAAGATCCTGGCGCAGGACACTGCGTATAGAAGGCGCGCGCATCAACTCTCCATTCCCCCCGAAGGGGAGACCTCTCTGAAACTAGGGGATCGATAGCATCCCTGGAATTTGACGCAACACCATCAAATGATTAAATTAATCTGAAACGATCTATAATCTGCTATGGAATAAGTCAACAAATCTTCATTAATAAACAAGTTACAAATTATAATTTTAAAGCAAATCCATGAAAATAATTTCATGATTATAGTTATTACGTTGAATAACATCAAAAATAATAAGATTTTCGTAAAAATCAGAAAATTCTAACCTTATTTGATGTATCACACTCTATATCTATTATAAAATTAATGATACAGATGGCGCCAAGTGATACTTTTAATTTCCGCCATCTTGATTTAATAATAATTATGATATCTTGGATATTGAATAGTTCGATTGGATTTATTTTAGGTTTTTCTTGTGAATCCTGTTAAGTAGCACTTCGAAGATGATATCTCCCAAGAGGCTGCAGATTTAGGTGATTGGCATTTTTCTGGCAGTATTCCAGTATATGTGATATCTTATTGGAGTACTTAATAACTGTTCTACGATACTGAATGTATGCAAGACTACGTGAGAGCTCATTTAGATCAATAACAGCAACCCTGAAAACGGTACAAAGCAGGTTTCGTATTTTTTTGCTGATAGAAGACGAGGTGATGTATTCAAAAGACTGGCCAGTATAATTCCAGACTTTCCTTGCAGTTTATAATTTGGCCAGATAAATATCCCAAACATCAGAACTTTGTGAAATCTACTCTGCTTGAAATTTATGGAAAAAATAATCTCGGTCGACTTCGAAGACCCAACCCAAGCAACACAAACATCAAGACCATAATACTTGCAAAAAACTAAATACGCTCGTAGACAACTTTTCTTGCTGTTTAATGTTTGGCCAGATGTCAAGTATCACCACCAGAACTTATCTTGCTTGAAATAGATGGTAGAAATAATCTTCAACTTCGAAGACGTCGGCCGAGATTAATTCTTTAGAATATCATAAACCCAACCCAAGCAACACAAACATCAAGACCACACTGCTTGCAAAACATTAAAGAAGCTGGTAGAGGAATAGGCCACTATAATTCCATACTTTTCTTGCTGTTTCATGTTTCGACTTTGTGAAACCCATTAAGATCTATTAAGATAATCTTGGTCGACTTCGAAGGCGTCGGCCGCCCAAAGTATCACAAACAACACTTTAGACGATATTAATTGTTTTGGGTATCACAAACCCGACCCAAGTATCACACACATTAAGACCTGAAACATCAATTTATCAAAAATGTCAAAATATAAAAATCAAAAATGTTCAAATTAATCAAAAAGACTACAATTTACGTAACATTCAGAAAATTTTAACTTGATTTGATGTATCACACCCCATATTAATTACGAAATCGCTTTTAAAGCATAGATGGCACAATTTATTAGTGTTTTGTTTTCGGCCATCTTGATTTTATAAAAATAATGATATCTTGGGCGCTATAACACATAGATATGTCGAGTTTGGCCTCATTCTACACGGCTTTTAACTATCTATGATAATATTTATGAATCAATTGTTTTCAGCCATCTTGAATTTTACAAAAATTATAAAAATCTAAATATTTCGGAAAGTTTAATAGGTAGATAGGTGGTGTTCGGATTCATTTTAAAGCATTTTTTATGAAGATTAAGAATATTACAAAAATAAGTTATTTTAAATATGTGGTCAACTTTCTCAAATTAAGACTTAAAATTAATTTTTTCTTTGATTTGATTAAAATATTTGATACAACAATATTTGATGTATAAATAACATCTTAAAGTCCTTGATTAGCGTTTAAAAAAAAATTTCTACCTAATTATTATTCGCGTGTGTACATTACAAGTAAAATCAAGGTAAAATACTCGGTTATCTGACAGATAACGACATCGAAATCGTAGTCGTCGTTGACTTTAAAGGTAAACGCGAATCGACGAAAAATCGAAATAACAAAACGTTTTCTTTCTTTTTTTTTCGTTGCGCAACCGCGTCGTCGGTCGTTGTTTGGTTGGCCGCTAATTATCGTTTTATTTTTCAAAACCGGGAACACGACGAAAAAAAAAATAATAAAAAAAATATATGTCACGTATAGTACGTGACTTTTATTATGCACCTTACGACGAAACAACGTCGCATTTCGCTTTAATACAACTAAAACGTCCTTGAGGTGAGCGCGTGAAAAATAAATTAGATTATATTAAAGTATATTTTTTAAATCGAATAATATTTTAACTATTATATTTATAGTTCCATGGGTATCTAGATACTCTGTGGATGGAGATTATCGACCGAGACGTCGTTGAAACATCTCCTTGGTTCGACCGCCAGAGGGACGACGACGATGGCCACTACTATTTGTTACCGAGCACCATCCAATCGGCTGCCGGACCGTAAATCAATTGTCACTATTATAAATCGATGCTCAACTGTTCGCATCCACGGCTAATGCGTTTCGCACGCATTCCCCGCAATGCGTTTACCTCTTCACTCATTGAATATCAAATTTACCAAAAATCATTTCATTTAAGAAACTGGTTTCGCCCCGTTAATCATCATCAGGAGCATCCGCCATTTCTATTTGTTTAATTAAAACTTTTTTGATTTAAAATTGAAATTCCATCGGGGAGTACTGAGAAATTGGCTCGAATACCTCGGTTTATAAATAACCGAATGTTTACAATTTCGTCGAAGATATTTTCGACCGTTTTATGATTTAAATATTTTCCGATACGTTCTGCTTTTCGCGAAACTTCACAAAATAAATTTCAAAAGTTAATATATCGCCTACTTTTAACGGGCTTTTATACAATTAGAATGCACCGACGTTTTCTAATTAAAAGAGAAACTTAGACCCGGATAAGTTTCGAGGTATTTAGGATAATAGAAGTCCGGAGTTCTCTTTCTCTTTCTATTTTCTCGATAACTCGACGATAAATCAATCTTAACTTTACCTACAACGTTTATTTACCATTTACCTATAAAAACTTGTATGTAGAAACTTGCTATCTTTCTTTCTTTCTTTCACTCATCATTACATATACCCTGATTAAGTGAAAAATAAGTTAACGAGGTGCGTTTGAGTAAAAAAAAAACAATAGTCCTTGAAGTTCTTTTACGTTTACATTTTACAGTCTGGGTAATCGTAAATATAAGCACCGCCTGGAAACATAGCTCCGCGAAGGCGTTCGTTCGTTCGATAGAATGATTGATTACGTATTCAACGTTGAAGGACAATCGGTAGCGAAGGAAGTGTCAAAATTTATTACTCCATCGATGCCTTTCGTGTGCTTTTAATTCTTCCATTATCAATCACCCATTATTGCACTGCTTTATATAAACAAATGTGCGATCCTGTATTAAGGGTTTCAATAAGATCATTTTGCAAAACTTTCAATTTGAATATCATTTATACTCATTTGGTTTCCTCGAAACAATAATAAATACGTAAATTTAGTGTTATAACTTAATCGAGGTTGGTCATTGTTAAATTAAATAAACCATAAGTATTCAAAACATACTATTATAATAGTATCTTATTTTTCTCTTAATGATGTTATTACGAGTATCACAACTACCAACACTACATTGCTTGCAAAAGATTAAATAAGTTGGTAGAGGACTTAGGCCACTGTAATTCCAGACTTTCCTTGCTGTTTAATGTTTGGCCAGATGTTGTGTATAATCATCAGAACTTTGTGGAATCCTATGAAACTAGATTTACCTTGTCTATGTAAAGACGTGTATGTAAAGTATTCTTGAAATGTTTTGGTGTCATTGCAGTCGTGGTAGCTAAGAAACTTGGATTTTTATGGAAAGAAATGGCAGTTTCTTCACTACAGGAGGTACACTGTTGTGTACATGCTTTTGTTAGAATTAGTAACTTCACTAACTAAATTCTAACATCTGGCAGTCACTATTTTCTGCATTATCAGGATTACTGACTTCATAATCAAACATGTTAGTTAAGTTTGTAGAATCAGAATTGTTGACAGAATCTGTTGTAAACGTTTTGGTTGATCGAGTGTGCTATTTACACATATTTCTAAAAAAAAGAACCACAGCCAAACTCAGCATATCTTTCGGAGAGTCTACTTTTATCATATTCAAGAATAATTGTTGTCAATTGCGCCTAGATCATCTAGATGCCAGTTTACTATATTTTTATAGATTTCAAAGAGTGCAAAAAATCAGTACGAAAGATAAAGATGTCATGGAGATGAAAAGATTGCTGTATGAGTTTGCAATGGAAGTTGTGGGCAGCATATAAACTTTATGGTGGTTTAAAGTGAGCTAGCCATAAAGCTTTCTGTTATTGCAAAATAGTTGGCTAAACCACCATCTTGTTATTACGATGCTACGATGATCTCAATGCTTCAACTCATCATTTAGGAATATCCAAAGAACGTAATAGTTTGGCCATCCCAGCAAACTGTTAAATAGACGACGAAGAGAAGCTTTATGCTTTAAGAAGCTTTATGCATGGTGGCGGATGTAGTGATAGATAAACTATAAGTAGTCAAGAATTTTATTATATTATACAAAATATGTGCAACAGTCTATACAATTAAGATATCCATTTAGATTCCAGCTTGGCTAAGAATAAAGCTACGAAGAGCTGGTACGCTGGAATAGACACCAGGGAATCCAGGACGAGCGCAACCATATCCCCAAGAAACAATACCAATGAGTTCACCTCCAACAACCAATGGGCCACCACTATCACCCTAAACACGAAAAAAATTTAAATTAATCAATTAACTTTAATTTTAATAAATTTTCTTACTTGGCAAGCGTCTTTGCCACCTTGTGGTACACCGGCGCACATCATACGATCGGTGATGGAACTAGTTCCGTAAGCTCTTCTGCATTCAGCTTGGCTGACGACTGGGACAACGACGGCTTGAAGTTGGGAAGGAAGAATACCTCCTTCGGTTAAAGTTCCCCATCCGGTGACGGTGGCGTCATCACCAGCATTGATGGGTTGATCTTGAGTTGGGAGACCAATCAAACCAACTGCGCTTCCTAAAGCGACGTTATTGGAAATGCGAAGAACTGAAATGTCGAAATCAATGGTGTCTTCATCGTATTGTGGGTGTTGGTGAACTTGACTGACGGTGTAAGTACTTCCGCCTGAATTTCTGATGGATGATCCGACGCGGATGGAAAATTGAGACGCTGTAGCTCTATAAAAAATTTTGGGTTAATTTTTTTTTGGTTAATTAAGTGATGTGTTTATTACCCATCAGTGCAATGGGCAGCTGTGACAACGAAATTTTGAGAAATCAAAGATCCACCACAAATGTGACTGCCGAACCAAAGAAGCGAGACTTGGTATGGGAATTCTTCGATGTAGGCATCTCTACCACCGACGATTCTTCCGTCCAAAGTTGGGAGTTTGGAACGGGGTTGATTTGGAATAGCTATAAAATAATAAATATAATTAATTTATTATTTGTGGCTAATAAATAAATCTTACCGGTGGCGCAAGCCAAAAGAGCAGCCAATACAACAAATTTGAACATTTTGATTAACTGCTTTATCATCTAAACCTCATTCTTTATATACTATTGGATCATTCTTATCTTTTCGAGATGGTCCAAGAAGATAACCCCAATTTTTATTTTCAAGTGTTGTAGTCGAAAGATTTTGAGATAATTTAAAAAAAGTAAATCCCCCCTTGTAACATTTTATTGAACATTGATCGATTTTATTAAAAAAATGGGTTGATGTTTTGTAGATGTATATAATTGGTTCGATTTCGACGTCTTTGTCATAAAATATTCACCCATTCGACCCATTTTCTACGTTTTCAATGTAAACGCAACCAGCAATCGTGTTCATCGATTTCGGAATTAAATAGTTGATAAGGCGGTCACTGTTTATGGTCCATTGTTTGGTTCCGGTTAAGAATTTTAATGAAAATTTTAACGAGTAACACGAGTTTTAATTATTTTTTAATTATACGAGAAAAAAATTTTATTTTTAGGGTAAAATTAAAATATTAATTAAATATTATCATCGACCGATTTCTTTGGTGTCATCACTTTTTTATTATTTTGATTTGTCCACTTGTATCTGATTGTATCTCGCAGTACAAATAAAAATCCCCCAATTTTTTTTTTTGTTTTGGTGTTATCTCGCACAGTCATCTTTGGTTTCTATTTTTATCATTTTAATCGTTTAGTTAATAAGTGGGTCATGGTGTATTCACCAAAGACTCACAATCAGCCTTGTATTGGAGAATATATGTGATGACGACACACGCACACATACAACACGGTTATTACCACTAATTGGTTATGTCTTCCTACGGCATTGTTGCTATTTTTGTGCACGCGGAAAGTTCAACGAAATGCCAGGAGACGAATTGCGTGCGTTGAAATTTCAACATTCATTTTTCGATCAAATCAAAAAAGCTTTAACATAATTCCCTTTTTCTTATAAGTGGTTATTAAAAAATCAAACTCCCACTTTATGTATACCCGGAGGTGAAACAAACAAGATGAACGTGGGTGAACAATTGATATGTAGAAAAAGATAATAATAGGGACTTTTTTTTGGGAAATAAGGACACAACCGGTTTTTAAGTAGGTGTAATTATTAGGTTTAATTTTTGTTAGAAAAAGACGTAAGAAATGTATTGAGTTAAACCCAAGTTAACAGGCGATGATTTACGACTCGGCCTTATCAAAACCTATAGAAACGATTTTTGCGGTTACGGTAGAACAATCACGGTTGTTCTTCGTATGATTTATACGTTTACGAAGCCTTCTAATTACCCACCACGATGAACGCGTTCAAGAAAATAAAAAATAGAATTAAAAATATCAATCTGAACAAATCTTTGATATTATGTTCAAGACTGGACGTCGCGCCTTTATTTCTTTATGTAAGTGCAATAAAGGCGCGGAATTTAGTCATCAACAAGCAGTGTAGAGTCAATGCTCTGATTTTTGTTCATAGCGATTTGGTCGTCATTTGACTTTCTTTTGTACCAAAAAATTGTTTTCCAAGAACTTTATGAACATATTCGAGGAAAAGACATTTTGCTAGAATTGCTTATTATTATTAAGAGATTTAGAAAGAATTTATAGAGTCTTTTATAAAATCGAAAATATTGATCAATATTATCTAGTTCACGGCATACGACTTTTACTACCACTACTAACACCACAACCAGAAACAATTTTTTCAACGTCCATAAACGCCAAAGACGGCGTCGTTTAATATCCGAACCATATATAGTAGGAGAGTTTGCAGTTAGTATTGCACCAAGAGTAGTGTATTGCATTCCATTGCGAAATCGGTTCACTTACGAATAAAGAAAAAAATTCATTTGCACAAAAACTTTCAAAAAAATACAACCCGATTTTTTTTGAAAGCTTCTTCTACAAATTGCCCGTTTAATTCAGGGTAACCCTATAACTTTAAACGGTCGCTTTCGAAACTCGATACTTTCAATTGTGTCTGTCTCTCCTTCCTTAGAAGAGAGATCTATGATATTTCGTTTCTAGGCTACATCTTAATGTATGCAACCTTGCGCTCTCTGTAGGTGTTTCACTTCTTAACGAGTATTATTGACTCTGCGATTGGACCAATCTCGGTTGGGAAATAAACCGGGTGGAACAGAACAAATAACATGACTCGGTTGGTGACAAAAATCCAAACAAGACACGCTGAAAGAAAGAATAAGTAACAAAGTCATATTTCATTTTTGAAGGGTAACTCGTTGACGTCCAGATCATTAGCGATGTCACCGAAAATACATCGACGATTTGTTCCTTGTCTTTTACTTGACCAAAAATTACACACCTTTTCTACTATTATTAATGGCTTGTTTTATCTTTAAACGGTGATATGGCGGTATTCGTTTTGCTTTATTTCCTTGAGGTTTATGGAAGGGAAAAGGATGTGTGTATATAGCGTTTCGTGTCAAAGGACTCCAAACCATGGAGAGAATGCGAGAGAGGGAGAGGGGTTAGGATCAATACGCCCTCGGCGGGAGGAGAGCCAGGACTTCGGGACTTGATACAAACTTTATGGAGTCCTGGAAGGATTTATGTACGCTCGTGGAGCCGCAGGTCCTTCTCTCTTCTACTCCTTAGCTTTAACGTATTTCACATCCCCCCATCTTGAGTATTACCTTCTCTTCCCTTAAGACTAATATATATATATATATATATATATGTATTAGATTGAAGATAAAATTAAAAATATAAAATTGGAGATTAAAACCATTCTGACCTAGTTACTGAAATCAATAGAAAACAAAATTGGAACAAGAATATAAGTAATCTGGGCCTATATAGATTATATAAATAGTTTATCGACCTTGTGCTACCTTTTCGAATAAAGAATCCAATAACTCCTCAATAACTAAAACCTTTTTAACATTCATTGATCGTTTTGTGACTTGTCATTTTTTTTTTGTTTTAATTGATACAATATTGCGCAGCAAAAAATAAAAAGATGGCTTCGAGACAAGGTTATCCGTATATTTAAAGATGTCCCATTGTTATTCGATTTGCGAAGTGTTTGTGTAACGAGCGAGAATTTAAAACCGAAGTTGTATTCGTTACTAACTTTAATGATTTAATAACTTGGTGTGTAGAGTCTTATCTACAAAATCAACTCTATAAAATCCGAATGTGCTACGATATATTTTTGTAAGTATATAATTTTAAAAGATCGAGTTACTAAAAACTTGGAAAACTTTTATTTTCTATATAGGCAGTTCTCAGCTAAGTAAGTTCTGATCTTCTTTTGAAGCTTTAAAGGATAAAGTTGCCAAACACTATTCTGAGAGCTCTATTCTCTACTATTCCAGAACGCTCTGGATTGTTCTCCAGCCGAATTAGTGTATGGCCAACTACTACGCCTGCTAGGCGAATTTTTCGTTCCAAATCGAAATATAACAAGAAACTTCCTTTTTAATAGTGTTAAAATCATGTCATGGTGTTATCAATTTGGTGGAAGTAAAGAAAATCGATGTCGTTGAACTTGAAATGAAAGTTGAAAAATTTGTGCGTATATATTATTTTTGTTGATCTCCTTGTTTAGGTTAGGTTAAAACGTTAGAAAGGACAATCGAACCGTTTCAAATATGGCAACTATGGTTTGCGTAACTGTACCCAGGTCCCGCGGTTCTTGGCTTACCTCTTCCTTGTTCGCGAGTTTCGTTGTGCAACTGCCGTCTTTCGTAGCCTCTCTCTTTCCCCATCTTTCTCTCTCTTCAAGTTGGACGTTCGCATAATGAGGCATTATCTGCGGTTAATACGCGGAATGGATATTAACAATTAAATGTTTACTGTTACGTGTAGTCATTGCTACTTTAAACTTAACGGGAATAGAATGAACGAATAATATTTTCATTCTAGAATGTTGATAATCAAAATTGGTGGGTTTTGGTTTCTTCGAGAGGGAGATAAAATAAAAAGAGATTTTTGTGAGCGACATTTCAGGTAAAAAATATTTCTGCCGCCCGATTTTACGAACCCGAGAGAAGAAGAGATGTGAAATTATCGACGTCGCGTCGTCGGACAGACATAAGGGCAGATGCGATCCCGGTCTCTCTCGCATCCAACCAACCTTTTTTTTCTTGCATTTTTTATTTCGTTTCGTTCTTTTTCGACCCATTTCTCGATTTCTTTACCTCCTTTTTTACTTATGTACGTTTATAAACGACCACCGTTTGTCGGCATATCGAACCCGACCCGGCTGATTATAGAGACAGACCTACACACTGGGCTGCTGCTGGCTCCTTCTTCCACCGACTCTCAATTTGATGATCATCACCTGCCCCACTCTTTTGTTTACTGTTTGAGGTTGCCAACAAAAACGATGACCACAAAGAAAATTGGAATCGTAAAGAGTATTCTAATTTGTTCGGTATAGATGAAGAGGAGTAGTTATTGAGGGCATCCGGGAATACCTGTTGAACAGGTTCGCAACCTGCCCTGACAAATGTCAACCATTAATCGGAGGAAAAATTACTTCCAATTAATCTGATTTTGTGCCTAACTTTAAAAATCATATCATATATATATATACATACAAGTGTCCCGTATCTTCAGCATTATACGGTTGTAGGATACATTCTTCTGAAGCGATCTTTCTAATAAAATTTTTCCGAAATGTTTATAGTCGTCCAATAGCGATTCAACGAGATCGTAAATCACACTTTATTAGAAATATCGCTTCAGAATAATGTATCCTACAACTATGATGCGGAAGATACGGGACATCCTGTATATATTGGAATGATATGTCTCCTAAGATTGTAAGGTGGAGGGTTAAAAGTACATAAAAATCAAGATCGAGATCTTAAAGAGAGCGAGAAGACCATATGGTCCTCACTTTGATATCGACATCGAAGTAAGCGTTGTAAATGTGGTGGGGGTAAAGGGTAGAACTTAGTGGTGGGGGAAGACGAACGACGAAAGTACCCGAATGCGGAGGGATCGGTAGCGCGCAATGTTGGGTATGGGTGCAAGCAGGAGGAGTGTATATGGTGGAGATCGCGTTTGTGTGGCGTATTACTAATGAATGCGTAAACTGTTTGTTGCTGGCAACACTGGTCGGAATGCGGTCGAGAGGGTGGCGGCGGTGGCGGCAGAGGACTTGGTCCGATTTAATCAATCGGCGCGGCCAATCGTC